AGGTGAGAAGCCTCAGGCGGCTTTCCCCCACTCCTGGCAGGGAGGCAGCTGGGCTCCCGATGGGGAGCTGCGTGGGGCTGCGAGCCCTGGCTCTCAGTGCCCCACACTGCTCCTCTTCAGTTGGTAGAAGTGCTCCTGGGGAGGATGCGCACCACCGACAGAAGGGGGCAGTGTGGACATCAGCCACCGCAGTAATTAATGCAGTGGCTGTAAGTTGACCTAACATAGGTCGACTTAAGATTGCAGGGTAGACATAGCCCATATCAGACAGGGGTATGAAGATGTATGATCCCTGATTGACAGAGCTTTGCTGACAAAAACTGGGAGCGTAGACACAGCAGTACCAGCAAGAAAGCTCTTTTACTCACACGGGCTGGTGTCAGGGCATGTTTCAATCCTAGAGGTGGTTTTACTCTACCAGCACAAAGCACAGCCTGCTGGTCTAGGTCTAGCTGCATCCATTCTAGGAGGGCTTTGCTGGTCCTGGATTGGTAAAAGGTCCTTGTGCAGACCTGCCTCACTCACATGAAATAGAACTTTAGCGCAGTGGTCTCCAAAATGGGGTGCACGCACCCCAGGGGGTGCGCAAGAGGATCTTTGGGGGGGTGCTTTTTGGGGGGGGGGTTGCTTCATCAGTTCGGGCGGCTTTTTTTTTTTTTTTTTTTTGCTTTGGCAAAAACGGTAGAGCCGGCGCGGCAGGGGATGCGTGCTCAAAAATTTTTTACTGATAGGGTGCACGATCAAAAAAGTTTGGAGACCACTGCTTTACTCCATTGACTTCAATGAGACCACTCATGGTGTAAGGCAGGGGTCGGCAACCTTTCAGAAGTGGTGGGCCGAGTCTTCATTAATTCACTCTCATTTAAGGTTTCGCGTGCCAGTCATACATTTTAACGTTTTTAGAAGGTATCTTTCTAGAAGTCTATAATATATAACTAAACTATTGTTGTATGTAAAGTAAATAAGGTTTTTAAAATGTTTAAGAAGCTTCATGTAAAATTAAATTAAAATGCAGAGCCCCCCGGACCGGTGGCCAGGACCTGGGCAGTGTGAGTGCCACTGAAAATCAGCTCGCGTACCGCCTTCGGCACGCGTGTCATAGGTTGCCTACCCCTGATGTAAGGGGAAGTCAATGGGCCCAATCCCATAAAGTGGTAAGAAGAGCAGGTCGAAAAGAGTATCTTATTTTCCATGAAAATACTTAGGGAAAAAAACCCCTAACCGTTTTCATTTTCACCACAATTTTTGTGGCCTTTTTCAGGGTTTAACCAAAACAAAAACCAACACCAAACCCCCAAACTTTTCTGAACTTTCAACTGAAAACCAACAAATTTCAGGCTGCAGTTCTAGAACAAAGAAATGTGCGCGTGCCTGGTTGGGTTTGCGGTAGTTTTTGATTTTGTTTTTAACAACACCCGAGAACCCTCAACAAACACAAACATTTTCTCACAAAGGCCCACTTTATTGTTGAAAAGCACGTTTCTAAGAAAAGACTGGCTCTAATGCTTCAAATCCATTGACCACATCTGAAGTTCTCCCTGGGTGAGGAATGCCAATTAGGGTTCTTTTCCTCAGCCTTTTATAGCACTAAGAGCTAGCCCAGGTCCTGAAACCTACCTTCTACACCAGTGGCGCACAAACTGGGGGGGGGCGCGCACCCCGGGGGTGGGTGAAGAAACTGGGATCCCACAGGTCCCGCTGCCATAATAGCGGGAGCAGTATAAAAATAGAGTGGGTATTGCAGGGTGGGACAGGAGTGGGATTAAAAAAATAGTCCTCCTTTGCCACAAACAATATGAATGGCCCGGCCAGCAGGCACCGCTCTCCAGCCACCCAGCTCTGAAGGCAGCGCCGCCGCCAGCAGCAGCGCAGAAGTAAGGGTGGCAATGGCCTGGCCAGCAGATGCCGCTCTCTGGCTGCCCAGCTCTGAAGGCAGCCCCGCGGCCAGCAGTAGCGCAGAAGTAAGGGATTACTTCAATTACAAGTAATGGAGGGGGGTGGGATGACAAATTCCGTGAATGGAAAAGGGGGCACGACTGGAAGAGTTTGCGCACCTCTGTTCTACACCCCCAAGAGATGTTCCAGTTGTATTCTTCTCCAAGATTTAGAGTGGCATTTTCAAAGCCCATCAGCTTCAGACCCCCCACTGCAACTTCCAAGTGCTGTCTACAAGCATCTGATGACTAAATCTTCATCTATTATTTACAGAAGCACCCACTCTGTCATATGCGCTGTCTAAACCTGCAAGGACGGTCCCTGGTCAAGAGTCTTGCCATCTAAGTCTAGGCTGATAGAGGTTAGGACAATGGGAACAACAATAAGCAATTTCTATACAAGGCAGCTCGGTTCACTGTAAGATGTAGCAGAGTAGAAGTGAGTCTATCAGAGGGGCTTAAGTCCTGAAGAATGCAATGCTAATATTTTTCAATTAGCAACCCTACTTGCATTTATCTATCTTTTGATGGACCTTTAGGTAGCAAATGCCATCCAAGAAAGTCTCGCTTTTTCCCCCCACATAGAATCAAATTAAAGGAGCTGGGTTCCTTCCCGAAAGAGAAGCTTTTTAATTAGGAATGAAAGAGAGAACATTGGAGAACCATATTGTCTTGTATTCAGCAGAACAAAAGCCAAGCTGCATTTTGACTGGGGATAGTGTGATCTGTATGCGGCTGTGGATAGAATTGCCGATTCTGAATCTCTAATCTGTTAATAAAGACAGTTCTCTACTGGTTAGTGCAAGGGCCTGGGAGTCCAGTCTCCTCGCTTCTATTTCTGAGTCTCCTGAACACTCCCTGAGCGACTTTGGACACATTCCTTCTGTGCGTGTTCCCCTTTCTGCAGAATTGCGAGGGTGATACTCACCTAACTCACAGGCATAGGTGAGGCTGAATGCATTAGTATCTGCAACACGCTTTTAGTTCCTCAGGTGAACGTATTAGAAACAGGTCCAGCGAGCGTTGCTAATTACTTCCGCAGTAACGTCCAAGTCAAAGCTATAACGTGGTGTTAAACAACAAAGCGAGAACTCCAGACGCAGAGAATGGGGGTTATTTCCGATGCACGTCAAGTGCTTCTTAGGGCAAGAAATCGGAGTCTGGCTCCATATTTACCCTCTGTAACTTTCACATCCCAAGATTTTCCTACTGGCTGGCACTTCCAGTGCATCCGAAACCCAAGCTGTGTTCTGTCTGCTTCCTACACCACTAGCATTGGTAAAGATACTGGGATCACAATGGATGGTGCTAACCCTGTAATATGCTGCCTGCCCTGCAGGGTGAGAGAACTGCTTTCCTTTAAGAATATACACTGCTTTTGTGCAGGAATTTTACAAAGCCGGGGCTGTAGCTGGTAATTATGCTGATTAGATTAGAACGGAGCCTGCTTCTCATTTAGCTATAATGGTTCTGCAGAAATGACAGGTGGGGAACTGCTTCTGTCACCGAACTAAGGCAATCTGACCCAGAGCACAGAGGACGAGCTAAACTCATTACACCTCCCTATAAAAGTTGCTCTCTGCAGAAGGGAAGTTTCTCCAGACCCGGTGTCTGTGATTAACCTCCCTTAAGATGGATACTACCTAACAATACAGGGCCAGATCTTCAGCTGGTGTCAACAGGTATCTCTCTATTGAAGTCCCCCCTGGGGTATTTGTACAACACAACACGGCTTCAGTGAGGCAACGGTAATTTACCCCAGCTGAGGGCCCAGCCCGCTTTGTAACGAATCCAAGCCCCAGAGGCAGTGGAACCAGTAAACCCCGATGGAATACGTTATTGCACCCCAATTCTTTTTACATGATTTAAGAGATAAAGGGGACAGGGTGGGGGAAATGTATCGAAAGGAGCATTTAAAAATTCCATGGATGGAACCAGGGCTTTTTACATCCCTGCCCAATCAAACCATTCTCTTACAAACAGACGTTGCCTGTAGTGAGTCTGAGCAATGAGTCGTGGCGTGTAAACCTCCAATGTTTCAGGGATACTGTTCAGAATAGCATCGCTCCCAGCAGTGCATCGGGATGGGATCCCTGTCTGCTGAGCTGGAACTCAGCTGCTGTGAGCGCCTGCCGTACCTGAGAGCTGTGCTGGGGCTCACTGCCCATCCATCCTGGTATTTATGCCATGCATGACATTGTGGCACGGGGGCTCCTCCCATGTGCTCCTGCTGGCTGGGCAGGGCTCGGACTCAGCTCCAGCATCCTTCTGCGGCCCTAAGCTCTATAGCAGGGCTGGAAACCCAACTCCCTCCTTCCAAAGTCGGCCGATATTCAGATCGGCAATTGGACTGATTAGGACACAGGTCTCCAAACTGTGGGGCGCACACCCCCAGCCTCAGGGGGCCTCGAAGACCGTTCGGGGGGGCGCAGCTGGGGCTTGGACCACTCCCCCGGGAGGCAGGGAAGAAGCACCATCCAGCTCCGCTCCCGGCCCCGCCCCCAGCTGCTGCCCCACTCCCGGCTCCAAGAGGGGGGCGCAGACAGTGGTAAAGGGGAGCATGAGTTAAGAAGTTTGGGGACCACTGCATTAGAGAGAGAGAGAAGCCATCTGTGGAATTTGACTCCAGTTCTGGGTTTGAATGCCAGCCCCTCCCCCATGAGGGTCATGTTTGTGATTTTGCCTAGGCCGAGCAGAGAGAGACAGGAGCCAAACTTTGAAATTCAGACCCAGGCCCAGGTTCAAATTCTGAAAGCCTCCATCCCCTCAGTCTGGTGGCTTTCATTTGGCAGTTGGGCCCAGGTCTAACAGATACAAACATCTTCTCAGGAGACCCCCCCGCCCCCCTGCTCCCGGTGCAGGAGCGACATTTGAATGGACCTGTTTGGTGAGCTCCTTGTGCCTAACCCTCTCTTTCTGTCCGTCTTGTGCATCCGTGATGGACTCACCTTGCTGTCGAGGTGCCGGCTAACAGCTGCCAGCGCGGCCGACAAGCGTCACCGCGATTACACTTGGCATCGCCCCGACCTGTTCTGTTTCCTCAGGACTCCGAGCTCCATCCCGAAGATGCTGAAACCCGTCCGGAGCGGCCTGCTGGCGATTGTGGGCGTGCTGCTCTTTCACGCGGCCGGCGGAGTGAACAGCCCGTGCTGGCAGAGCAGCAGGTGTCAGGAGCTCAGCACAGAAGCTGGCCTGCTGGTGAGTGGCTCCGGCCCCGGGCGCTCAGGGGGAATGTGAGGGAGGGACTTGGTTAGGCCTCTAAAATGGGACTCGGCCTCTGGGGAGAGAGTGGGGGTATGTCTACACTACGGGATTAATCCGAATTTAGATAATTCGAATTTGGGAAACAGGTTGTATAAATTCGATTGTGCGCGGCCACACTAAGCACATTAATTCGGTTTTTAACCACATTAATTCGGTGGTGTGCGGCCACACTAACCCTAATTCGAATTAACAAAATCGATTTTGGCGCTACTCCGCTCGTCGAGGTGGAGTACAGAAATCGATTTAAAGCGCCCTTTAATTCGAACTAAATGGCTCTGTTGTGTGGACGGGTGAAGGGTTAATTCGAATTAACGCTGCTAAATCCGAATTAATCCCGTAGTGTAGACCAGGCCTGGCAGAGGAACAAGATGCCGTGTCCCGCACTAAACCGGGGAGATGGAGGTACAATAGACATTTCCCATTGCTAACGTCTGAGCCATGCTCAGAATGAAATCCATTAAAAAACCAAACCACTCCTTGATATCTCTTTCTGGAAGCAAATCAGAAATCAGCCCTGGGAAAGCCCTGGGAAAACAGCTCCCCCACGCCCAGCCGCCCAAGCACTGTTCCCGACCGTGCAGGAAGGAGCATTTTCAGTGAAGGTGCAGGACTGGGAATTGGGAGATTCCCAGATCGGTCGCAGACCTTGGGCAGTTCACTTCATCGCCGTGGGCTTCAGTCGCCCAGTGGTAAAATGCGGGTGATTCTGTTCCCTTACCCTGCAGAGGTGCTGTGGATGCAGAGTCAGGAAAGCTTGTAAAGTTCTTGGTGGCTGCAGCGATGCAGGCCGTGGGAGGACATAGGGAGAGTCCCTGGGGTCGCTCAGAGGTGGCCGTGGCCCTCTGTATGCCATAGAACTGCTGCATGGCTGCTCAGAGCAATATGTCCATCTATCCTGTAAGCCAGATGGCCAGCTGGTGTAAGTGGGCACAGCTCCAGGCAGGGCCGGCTCTAGGTTTTTTTGCTGCCCCAAGCAAAAAATTTTTTGGCTGCCCTCCACCCCAGCCCTGGGCTCTCCCCCTCCCAACTGCACCCTCCTGCCGCCCCAGCCCTGGGTCACTGGTAACTCGCTCCCAGGGCGGGTCATTCAGCAGGAATTTGGGATGTGCACAGAACACAGACAGGATTGGTTCCCATATGGTTACAGAACTGCAGTAAAGTGGAACAATTTTCAGCTTGTGTGATTGGAGGATATCTGGATGCACATTATAAGACTGTCCTACATAAATGGGGAAAAGTTGAGGTGCCTTTATTATTCTTTTGTTCCATTCTTTGTTTCTATGGGGAATGCACTATCACGGTCTTTCTTTTAAACAAATAAAACTAAAACTTTAAACAAACAAACAAACAAAAAAGCAATGGCTGTTGAGAATAGCAATTCCAGTCCTAATAACCACTGGGAAGCATTTCTTGCTCAATTTATTCTACTTTTTCTACAGCAAGTTACAGTGGATCAGTATATTTGATTTGGGGGAAATGAAGTAACAGCTGCCCAAATTGAGCTTGAGCACTCCTGAATTTTGAGGGTGTTCAAATCTGGAAGGCAGGTGCTAGATTCCCTTTCTGAATATTAGCTATATCTGGAGAGGAAAAGTCAATTTCTGCTTCCATGGCTCAGAAGTGAAAATCCTCCTAAGTGCCTGGTACTGTATCTAAAGCTGCCCAGGTCCAGAGCCTCCCCTCCCTTACTTTTCATTTTAAATTCTAGTGGGATCCACATACCTCCCTTGCTAGGCTTCAGATAGAGAGGTGCACCGTCCATTTAGTCCCCCCAATTCCTTCTTTGGGGGAGAGCCCAGGGCTGGGGCAGCAGGAGGTGCGGGTGGGGGAAGAGCCCAGGGCTGGGGGAGCAGGGGAGTGCAGGTGGGGACCAGAGCTGGGGTGGCGGGGGGGGAGGGGAAGAGCCCAGGACTGGGGCAGCAGGAGGTGCAGGTGGGGACCAGAGCTGGAGCAGCAGGGGGTGTGGGCAGGGGGGAGCCCAGGGCAGGGGGGGGGGGTGGCAAAAAACCTAGAGCTGGCTCTGTTCCTACCATTCACAGCAAGCTGCAGATTTCAGTTCCATACTCCTTTCCCACACCCCTTCCTGTTGCTAGTGGCCAAAGGAATGCTGGGAAATGTAGTTCTTTCCCTGCTCCAGCGCTGGCTCTATAGGCAGGGAGCTAACCAAGGAACTACAGCTCCCAGGGGGTCCTGTTGGTTCTTAGCTCCCATGCTGGATTCTTGCGCCCTTTGCAAATCTGCCGCCCCAAGCAACTGCTTGCTTTGCTGGTGCCTAGAGCCGGCCCTGGCTCCAGGGAAGGCAATCGAGCAATGCGGATTCCCAGCAGCTGAGAGGAGCTGGCCCTGTCAGAGCAGTTGCCTCCTGCAGTCAGGGCTGGCTCTAACTTTTTTGCCACCCCAGGCAAAAAAGAAGAGCGCCGCCCTGCCGCAAGCCACCCCCCTGGCGCTTTGGGGCGGGTCGTCCAACCCCCCGCCCCCCCCCCGCGCCGCGCCACCCACACCCCCGCCCCGAGCCGCTCAAACCCCCGCCCCAAGCACTGCCCTGGGCTGGGCCACCCAAACCCCCGGAGCGCTGGGCCGGGCCGCCCAAACCCGTGCCCCCCCCACCCCTGCGCCGCGCCGGGCCGCCCAAACCCCCACCCCCCGGAGCGCGGCGCCGGGCTGGGCCGGCCAAACTCCCCAAGCGCCGCACCGCGCCAGGCCACCCAAACCCCCGCGCCCCCCCGCGCCGCCGAAGCCCCCCACGCCGCGCCGCCAAAACACCCCCGCACTGCCCAGCCGAAACAAAAAACAAAAAAAACCCAAAAACAAACAAACAAACAAACAAAATCCCTCGAGCGCCCCCCCGCCACCCCAACATTGGCCGCCCCTTCTGAGGTGCTGCCCCAAGCACGTGCTTGGTCGGCTGGTGCCTAGAGCTGGCCCTGCCTGCAGTGAGGGGGTTTGCAAAGATTGCAGGGGAGTTTTCCACTCCCTGCCTGCTCTCCTGCGTTCTGCTGTGCATACAGGGCGACAAGAAAGCCTTCGCCGTCTGCCTACCACCGGGTTAGGCGCTCTCCCTCGCTAGCTAGCTTTTAGGTTCTTAAGCTGCAGAGGGTCCATTGGTAACTGAGTCCTCACATCGCAGCTAGAGATGGAAGAGACAGACTCCATCTGCTGGAAGGGCAGGATTTCATTTCTCCCCCACCCTGCATGGAGGAAGGGAGAGTTACCTGGCACTAGACGTGCAAGGAGATGTCTATTGAACAGGCGAAGTGGACACTTCTCCAGGTGATAACCTCAGCCATTTGAAGGTTTGCCCCCTTTGCCAAAAGCTGGTAAGAAAGGGGCTGGACCCACATCTAGTGGCAGCGTGGGCTAGGAAGCCAGGAGGGGGTTTAACCCCAGCTCTGGTACTGACTCCTCTCTTTGGCCTTGGGCTAGTCATTTACACCAACACCGTCACACCAGCGTGCCAAAAATTGGGTGCCTACGTCTGCTTTAGTTAGGCACCTGAGTACACACTGCCTGACGTACAGAGGTGCTGAGCTGAGGTGCTGGGTGTTAGAATGACAGGGCCTGCAGTTAGCTACTGATTCGACACACCTCCCTCTCTTTTCCCTGATGCTCTATTGTCTCCACAAAGAACAATCTGTGGGCGGAGGCTGTCTCCGCCCCTCCATCCTCACACCATGGGCTGACTTCCTCTGTACTCTGTCGCAGCTGCACTGGTTCAGTTCTCCTTTCACCCTCCCTGACATTTTGTTCTGGTCCCTGTTTGGCCAAAGCCTCTTTCTCCTGCTGGTCTGCTCCTGGGGCTGCCTGGGGGACCCATTCTTCAGCAGCTAAATCCGTACAGGTCTCGTTCACCAGCCTCTGTTCACCTCCATTTCCTCTTCCTTCTCTACCAGCTTTCTCTCTGCTCCAGACTCTTTTCCCCCTTGCCGACCTTCCCGGCTTGTATCTTCCTCGCTAGGTTCTTCTCTTTCTTTCTGACCAGCCCCTTCTTCGGTCTGTTGTTTCACAGCCCATAACCAAGTCTGTGGTCTCCAGGAGTTTCCTCCTTCCATCAAGGCGAAGGGTTTCCAGTCAATTCCCAAAACGAGCCTTCACCATCCCCACCTGTTTCTATTTAAACCTTCCCTTGACCTCGACGGGGATTTTTGCTAAGGGGCAGCGTTTCCTCGCGTATGCATTCCAGTTTCAATCCCCTCCCAGGCAGCATCCAATGGGGTTTCCCCAGATCTACCCGGACAAGCGAACACTCTAGCTGCCGAATCCATTAACCCCTTCACCCGCTTCCTGACGGCTTTGACCCTACGGGTAGACACTCGTTTTCTCCGGGCACCCCAGTCCACCCGCAGAATTCTGCCAACCTGCAGTCCATACACCGACAGTCTCTTTATATGTCCTGAGTGCCCGCATCAGTAACGAACTACCTCTCCCGCTAGCGGAGGAGGAGGACCCCTTAGACTCTTCCCGCCTTTTTTCCTCTCCCTTTTCCCACCTGGGCATCGACAGTCTCCTTCCCCATCTCCTGTCCCCTCAGGGGACAGACTGTTCTCCTGGTACGTCAGCCTCTAAGAACTCTTCAGCAAGCGTCACTGCACTGCCCAAAGTCGAGGGTGAGTGCCAGCACACGCAGACACCTGCCACCTTGGGAAGACTGCAAAAACTGCTCTAAAACCACCGTCTCCAGCCTTTCTTCCAGCCTCAGCCGAGTCAGCCAGTCTCTGTGTGGAAGCTCTGGGCTTTATTCCCTCTGTCCAATTCGCAGCCCTAAATCTCTGCCGGTATCCCTCCCACAACAGACCCAACCTATCAGTGATGCTGCCTTGACTGTATCATAGTCCCTGGCGTGTTCTTCGCGTCGGGGCTTGTGGGTTGCTTGTGCTTTGCCTGGCCGGGAAGAAGCCACTCGCAAAGCCCACGATGCCTTATCCCAGCCGTAACCTCCAGCTCAACAGTTCAGAGAAAGGCCCCGGGCCATCTGCCAGAGCCATTTTTCACAGTCCGATTCCCTGGGCTCTGCTGCCCACCTGGTCACAGGACTCTCAGGCTCTGCAGCATCCGGTGTTGTGGTGCCGTCTGCTCCATAATAAATTCCCGCAGAGCCGGCTGTTGCTCTGCCGGCCACACCCTCCTGGACTGCTGCTCGGCTTGCTGAGATCGTTGAAGGACTGTGGCAGCTCCTTTCGTTGTTCTTCCATTTCCCCCCGGACAACCCACCCTCGCGCCGGCTCCCTTTTCGGCTTCCCACACAGACGCGGGACGCTGATCCCAGGCAACCTGCCCAAGTGTCACGGGGTCACCCCCTGAGAGTCCTGCCAGGTCTTAATCACAGACTACAAGCGCTCCAGGTCTCCTGCACCACCGCCGTGTTTCACTGTATTCTGCCAGCAGCCACAGCCTTATTTACATCATATCTACACTCCACAGCCAGTATCCCCACGTGCTTCCAGGGAAGGGTACAGTACCAGCTGCAGCCCATTCGGCCTACCTCTGTCTTCCTCCAGGCTCCCTCCTCTCTAGCACTTCCTTCCTGTCAATCCATATAATCGCACCTGCTGGGGTTGCTTTCCCTTCAATTAGCCCTTCACCTGTAGCTCTTCTCGGTTAATGGACACCCTCTGTCAGCGACCTGCCTTCCAGTTAGGCCCCAGTTAATATATCCTGGTGGGTATTCGAGTGCACAAAGCTCCTGACCCTGCACACCCTGTTACAAGTGATGAAACTAGGGAATACCATGGCTGGGTTGGACATTTCCATCAGTATCTGAGACCTTCAGGGTCCCGTGCTACCGTGGGAGCTGGGTTATGAACTCCTGAAGGCAACAGTTTATAGTTAAAATCGGAATCGATCTTTACTTAACAGAACCACAGGGCCAACCCCAGCCCTCCCACCTGCGCATGCACGGCTCCTGTTGCCAGCAGTGGGAATTGTGCACATGTGACTCAGGACAGATGCTGGGTCATAGCTGATAGGAGGTCCCATTAGCCCTGGACCTTCTAGTGCAGCCAGCTGCAGGAAGCAGGAAGGAGGCTGCAGCAGCCTATTTAAGACCACACGTTTCTTAGCCCCAGCTCCTCCTCAGCTAACCCTTTGCAAGGGCCCCCCTGCCACAGGAAGTGTCACAATGGTTATAAGATGCTCTGGCCTCTGGGGAGGTCTTGGCTGCAAGTGACGGAGCAAACAAGCCGAGTCAAGGAAACAGGAGCGGGCTTGCGAGTTTCTTTCCCTGGCCAAATGCGAGCAACCTGCCCAGCTCTCTCCCCTTCAGGGGTCTACTTTATACCACGCAATGCACGGCCGGGCGGTTAGCACTTCGGACTGGGAGTTAAGAGACGTGGCTTCTATGCCCAGCTCTGCTAAGGACTCCCTGTGTGATCGTGGGCAAGTCACCGCCCCTCTCTGTGCCCCAGTTTCCCCTTCTGTAAGATGAAAATAAAAGTACGCACCTGCCTCCCAAGGGGAGACTGAATGGCCAGATCCTCAGCTGGCGTAAATCAGCATGGTTCCATTGGTTTCAGCAGAGGAATAGCAGTTCACACCAGCTGATGACCTGGCTCACTTTTTGTAGAGTGCTTTAGACCCTGAGAGGGGCTTGCAGAGTATGAGTGCTATTAATAAACAGAGCTGTGCCGACACTGAAAACACTTCTAGGTACAGTTACTCACAGAGAGAAACAGAAAGGCCCATAGGTCACCTCCGTGCCTGGACATTATATGACATGAGCCCCACATCGCAAATGTGTGTCTAGTTGAAGCATTTCCTTTCTCCTCACCCAGGAGTGCATCAAAGCCTGCAAACTGGACCTGTCTGCGGAGTCACCTGTGTACCCAGGTAATGGCCACCTGCAGCCTCTGTCTGAGAGCATCCGGAAGTACGTCATGAGCCACTTCCGCTGGAACAAGTTTGGCAGGAAGAACAGCAGCAGCGTCGCTGGCCACAAGCGAGAAGAGATCCCCAGCAATCTCCTCTTTGGCGTCTTCCCTGATGCTTCCCCAGCCCAAAGAGGAGACAAAGAAGAAGAAGGAGCTGCCCTCGAAAGGCAAGACAGCAAACGATCCTACTCAATGGAGCATTTCCGATGGGGGAAGCCAGTAGGCAGGAAGAGGAGACCCATCAAGGTCTATCCCAATGGGGTGGAAGAGGAGTCTGCCGAGAACTACCCACTGGAGTTCAGAAGAGACCTCTCTAAGGAACTGGACTACCCCGAGTTCGAGTCCCTGGAAAGCCCAGAGAGCGAGGAAGAGATGGTCTCAGAGGAGGAAGAGAAGAAAGATGGAGAGTCCTACAAGATGCACCATTTCCGATGGAACACCCCACCCAAAGACAAGCGATACGGGGGCTTCATGACATCGGAGAACAGCCAGACCCCTTTAATGACTCTTTTTAAGAATGCCATAATCAAAAATGCCTACAAGAAAGGCCAGTAAGGTGAGGGAGGGAGTGGAGGGTGGGGATGTAACTTGCAAATAGATCCCCAAGGAGACCCAAGTTAGCTTCAAGATCCCACTGGCATGTGTTTCACTTAGATACAGTTACAATGATCACTTATTATGTTGTTACTAATTCATTATTAATTATTATTATTATTAAGCAGTTTGCTGTTAGGAAATGATTTCATGTTCTTATTCTGACTTTGAATGTGCACAGATTAAAAATCAATCCATTGAAATAAAAACATCCGTACTGTACATATGAGGAAAGAGATGCTTTGATGAGTGCATATCTAGTTTTGCCCTGCCAGATTATTTTCATATTTGAAACAAGCTGTACAATACTGTAAATGATGGATTCAAATAATAATACAGTTTTGCAAGCTAAGCAGGTCTCTGCAGTGTCTCTGGCTCTGTCTGGCGTGAGCTGTTTTCTTTGGCAAAGGTTCTTGTGCGTTTCAAGTAGATGAGACAAGCTACAGCCTGAAAGTCAACCCTTGGAAGCAGATAGACAGGACCGGTGAATGTATTAAATCCTTCGCAACGTAAGACCAGTGAATAGGGACAGAGTGGGCAGGCACTGTGCTAATTTCCAGCACATCTCACAAACATCAGTCCAGACTTGCAACAAATCCGTTGATGTTCTAGTCCTGGGTTTCCCACTCCCAGCTCTGCCAGTGCACCTCAGTCATGATCTCCTGAGAACTCGTGGAGGGGGAGAGAGATCCCAGAGGACTGGAAAAGGGCAAATATAGTACCTATCTATAAAAGAGGAGAATAAGGACAACCCAAGGAATTACAGACCAGTCAGTTTAACTTTGGTACCCAGAAAGATAATGGAGCAAATAATAAAACAAACAAACTGTAAACAACTAAAGATAATAAGGTGATACGTCACCATGGATTTGACAAGAACAAATCATGTCAAACCAACCTAGTATTCTTCTTTGACAGGGTAACAGGACTTGTGGATAGGAGGAAAGCAGTAGATATATCTGGACTTTAGTAAGGCTGTTGATAATGTCTCACATGTCCTTCTCATAAGCAAGCTAGGGAAATATAGCCTAGATGAACCTACTATAAGGTGGGTGCACACCTTGTTAGAAAATTGTACTCAGAAAGTAGTTATCAATGGTTCACAGGTCAAGCTGGAAGGGTAAATCAAGTGGGGTCCCACAGGGATCTGTCCTGGGTCCGGGTCTAGACAATATCTTTATAAATGATTTGGATAATGGCTGCAGCATGTGTAGACGTAGCCAAGCTAGCATTGATCTAGCTAGAATCAGGTCAAACTTAGCATGACAGCAGTGAAGCCATGGCAGCATCGGCAGCAGGTGCTCAAGTATGTACCCCGGTTCCTGGGCAGGCTGAGCTAGCCTGCGGAGCCACCCACACCTTCGCTGTTATTGTTACTCCAGCTAACTTTGATTTAGTTAGATCAAAACTAGCAGGGGTATGGCCAAGGCATGCTGCTATCACCCCTCCAGATTGCAGTGTAGACATACCCAATGAGTCCAGAGTGACTGAAATGCAACCTGCCCACTAGAAACCTTTAAAACTTCACGCACAGCCAGTCAGGAACATGATTCTGGAAGACAGGCTGGAGATGCGGAGGGGAAGAGGCTGGTGAGATGGACCCAGAACACTCTGTCAAGTTGTCCTGCAGCAACTCATGATTACCAACCTCAGGACAGACTGTTAAGAACCAGGGCACAAATTCCGAATTGGCGGTGAGTCGTAGATTTAGATTTCACCGAGCAATTATCACGTGTAAACTGCTCAGGCACTGTAACAGCCTAACCCTGGAGTCACAGATAGTGCCCGTGGGTACTCCGATCTGTCTCGCCAGCCAGGTGAGCCTGCCTTTGTGACAGATACTCCCTTATGCCAAGAATCACAGCTATATTCAGGCTACGCTCAGTCCCAAAAGACCAGTCACTTTCCCAAGGTCAATTGCATTTTAGATCTCACACCAAAGACAATGCTTGTGGCCAGTCCTATAACAAACTATCTATAGATTTATTATACAGGAAAAGGAAACAAGAGAACTGTTTACAAGGTTAAAGCAGGTGAACATACGCACACAATGAGTTACAATCTTAAGTTTCAAAAGGTAACAGACACTTCTATGATAAGCAAGCTCTACATGTCCTTTAGGGCTAACCCAGGCTAAGCACTGGTGTTCTCTTGCTTATGCCTGGACAACCTTGCGCCACAGAATCCAAGCCTCAAAGAGATCCAGTTCCTTCTTGTTAGAGGGAGTGCGTAATCTATGTCCTTCAGAACCAGAGACAGAATAGCTAACAGGCAGTCTTGATGCTGAGGGAAGGGATTATTTAGTCTGCAGAAGAGAAGAGTGAGGGGGGATTTGATAGCTGCTTTCAGCTACCTGAAAGGGGGTTCCAAAGAGGATGGATCTAGACTGTTCTCAGTGGTAGCAGATGACACAACAAGGAGTAATGGTCTCAAATTGCAGTGGGGGAAGTTTAGGTTGGATGTTAGGAAAAACTTTTTCACTAGAAGGGTGGTGAAGCACTGGAATGGGTTCCCTAGGGAGGTGGTGGAATCTCCTTCGTTAGAAGTTTTTAAGGTCAGGCTTGACAAAGCCCTGGCTGGGATGATTTAGTTGGGGATTGGTCCTGCTTTGAGCAGGGGGTTGGACTAGATGACCTCCTGAGAAGTTCTTCTCCACACAGCGTACAGTCAACTTGTGGAACTCCTTGCCTGAGGAGGTTGTGAAGGCTAGGACTATAACAGCGTTTAAAAGAGAACTGGATAAATTCATGGAGGCTAAGTCCATTAATGGCTATTAGCCAGGATGGGTAAGGAATGGTGTCCCTAGACTATGTTTGTCGGAGGGTGGAGATGGATGGCAGGAGAGAGATCACTTGATCATTACCTGTTAGGTTCACTCCCTCTGAGGCACCCGGCATTGGCCGCTGTCGGTAGACAGGATATTGGGCTGGATGGACCTTTGGTCTGACCCAGTACGGCCGTCCTTATGTGGTCCCTTCCAACCCCGATATTCTAGGATTCCTCTTTGGAAAGGCTCAGCTCACTGCTCTGTCCGTCAGAAACAGAGCACTGAGCCATGGTGTGCCGCAAGGCCTCATGGGACCAATCCAGCGCCTGGGAACTAGCGTGTGAGGCCTCATCTGAGACGTTCCAGTCTCAGCCCTAACGGGGAGCTCAAGAAATTGTCCCATTCTAGGCCGGCAGCTCCAGCTCGGGAGCAGGCTGCAAGGTGGTAAAACTCTTCAGCAAAATTCCCTTGCGGGAGAAATCAGCGCTCCTCCCGCACCTGTTCCCGCAACGCCACCCTGGAGGAGGCATCCACAGAGCCCGGTGAATGGGGCTGATTCTGATCTCACCCTGGTGAAGCTCTATTGACTTCAGTGGAGTTATTCCTGACATACACCCGTGTAAATGAACTCAAAATTAGTCCCAGCGAACCTGGAAAAAATGGTCCGTGTGCCAACGATGCTCCAACTTACCTGAAATGGGTTTTAACATCTATTTAGTTAAACTAGTGCAAACTCCCATGGAGACAGCCATACATCAGTTTACACCCGGTTTATATCAAATTAGCTTAGTTATCTGACCAAATTAACCTAATGTTGTGTGCAGTGTTGTTGTCGCTGTGTCGGTCCCAGGAGATTAGATAGACAAGGTGGGTGAGGTAACATCTTTTATTGGACCAACTTCTGTTGGTGAGAGAAACAAGCTTTTGAGCTTACACAGAGCTCTGGGTCCAATAAAAGATATCACCTCTCCTCCCCGCCCCCCTTGTCTCTCTAATTAACATAAATCAATTTATATACACTGTTTTTAGGTGCATCTTTTGGGTGCAGATAAAGATTATGTCAGGCGATCGATAGATAGATAGCTAGATAGCTAGATAGATAGATCTCCAGTCTCCAAGGCTGTTAACTAAAGCATCACTGAGAACAATTAAAGGGAATGAAAATTACTACTAATAATAGCAATCGCTTGCAGAAGCGGAGCGGTGCATGGATGAAATTGACGTAATGAACTAACATAAAAGAGAAAAGAACTAAAAAAAAGTTAGCAGTTGAATAATAATGGAGATATTACTCATTGGTGCGAAGCATGAAATTCATCATATGTTCTCTCTCACTGACTCTTCAGTCTGAACTCCGTAGCACGTCCTTGGCAAAATGGTCGCCATAAAGGGAAGCGACTCTAGCTCATCAAAGGCTAATCCTCTCAGACTGAAAAAAATGTATTTCAAATACATAACAACGTACAGTTCCACGGCACCTCAGCACCTGAAGGATCCAGCATGCTTAAGAGATGACTTGGTGACCGTTTATAAGTGCCTACACGGGGAATAAATATTTGATGACAGGCTCTTCAGTCTTGACAGTGGCACCAAGAGGGAGGGTAGCGGGGGGACCGGACCGGCCGCCCCTCTGTACAGATGGAGGGGCACTTGGGCCAAATTTCAGTAAGTGGCATTGCAAACGAGTGCACTGGGTGTAGGGTTGCCAACTTTCTAAGCGCACAAAATCAAACACCCGAGCCCCGCCCCTTCCCCGAGGCCATGCCCCTTCCCCAGGGCCCTGCCCCCTCCCTCAGTGGCTTGCTCTCCCCGACCCTCACTCACTTTCACCCACAGGCAGTGCCCCCCCAGGAGCTGGAGTTGCTGACTGCTTCCAGGACACAGCGCGGAGCCAGGACAGGTAGGGACTAGCCTGCCTTAGACCCGCCTTAGACCCGCAGCACCGCTGACCGGACTTTTAACGGCCCGGTCAGCGGTGCCGACCGGAGCCGCCACAATCCCTTTTCGACTGGGCGTTCCGGTTGAAAACCGGACACCTGGCAACCCTAACCAGGTGGTCATGCCGCTCAGATTTGGCCCGGCCACCCCTCCAGCCAGGTGGAGGGGTGGCCGGGCCAAATGGTGCTGTGACCTGGCACGTGGGGAGTTTGCTCCTGTACGGCAGAGCACAGGGGAGTTTGCCACAGACTCAACT